ATGTCTATATATTCTTGGAAAATGTATATGTGAAATCATCTAAGATTTTATAAGTTATTCTTGAAAAACATGTCTAAAAACACACAAATTATTTATGATAATGGCTATGTTTGGTTATTGGCGGTTTGGGCAAAAAAACCAAATGAGCGGTTTTGACCAAGAAAAACTGCTAACAATAATATTTGGTTAAGCAGCTTATTAACTTAGCGGATTGGGCAAAAAAGCTGAAATCTGAAACGCTAGGAATGAGAGCGTTTGTGAATGGCTTTTTGGGAAAAATTACAAAAATGATACACTAAGTTGGCCGTTGTCAACAAAAGAGACACTATGTTGTCACTCATGGAAAAGATACACTTAGTTGACTTTTTGCATGAAAAAGATACATATTTACAAAAATGATACAATAAGTCAGACATAAGTGATACACTTAGTGTATCATTTTTGTAAATATGTATCTTTTTCGTGCAAAAGACCAACTAAGTGTATTTTTTCCATGAGTGACAACATAGTGTCTCTTTTGTTGACAACGACCAACGTAGTGTATCATTTTTGTAATTTTGTCTGGCTTTTTGCATTGTTTAACTAGATCATGTATTTTTTATTAGTTAATTATTATTAAAAACTTACCTACATTGCTAACCAAATAATTTATTTTTAAAGTAGCACTGAAAGCAATAGTACACATGTTTTTGCATTACAAAAGCTAATCATTTTTAATTCGTTTAGTATATGCTATTCAAATAAATAACAAACAAAACTGTAAAATTTGATTCATTATTGATAGATAATTACTTACTTTTTTAATTTTTATTTCAAAGAGTGACTCTCAATTTTATTTGTAGTTGTTGTAAAATTATAAAACATAAATCAGATTGTATTAATAAATAATTTAGCAACGACTAATATTCAAATAGTTATTTTACCAAATCGTACCAAATGTTTTTTAATTCGTGATGACTTGTTATTGGTTGTTTATATGACATGAACTTACTTACGATCAAGAAATATATTTTTTTATTATTAATTATATTTTTATTATATTTAACGCACTTTAATAAATATTTAAAATACTAATTATTTATATTTTTAAAAAATTATAAGTTCAACATAAATTAGAATGATAAAAAATATGCTGGTGTCTTAATGTCCTTATAAGTAAATTTATGTGTTAACAGCTAATTAAAATAGCTAGTTTTACCAAATACTTTTTTACAAACCGCTAATACAATCAGCTAGTCAAAATAGCTATCGCAATCCGCTGGTCAAAACAACTAATGCAATCAGCTAACAGCTAACAGCTAACCGCTGATTACCAAACAAAGTCAATATACTAAAAGGATTTATATATTTATCGTGAAAAATGAAAATACAACGTTCACTACATTTATAAATTCAAGCAAACACAACCAAGGATGAACCCACATTGGCTCCAGGGGCCCAATCATTATATATGTACTAGTATTTCATCATGTACACATGCACAGATGTTTAAATTATTATAAGTTATATACATATATATAATATTAAAACTATAAGTTAGACAATAATATCACATTTAAATTTGTCATCTTTAATAAAAATAAACATTATAAAAGTATTCAACTCCATCACTATATTTATTGCATAAAATGAAATGGATAAGGTAGTTTTTATAAATATGAAAGATCAAGACCCGTTAATTATCTTAAAAAGTATTATTATTATAATTAAAAGTTTAGTAGGTTAGGTTTACCAATATAGAAAATTAGCTTATTAAAAAAATATTTAAGATCAATAAATAGTTTTAAAAAAATTTAATATAAGTTTGTATACTTATTCAACTCTCACATATCATTTAGTGTGTATTATAATTGGTGAGTTTTACAAATAACTATTATATAATAGTATAATTAAAAGCAAGATTACACTTTAATTAACTATTTTAAAAATAGTAATTGATTAAGTTTCAGTTAATGGTTTAAAAAACAGCTATTGAATTGTAATGAAAAAAGGTAGAAAATCCAAATGATTTTATTAACCTTTTTGTTAGCAATTATACATATATATAGAGGGATATATATTAAATATTCATTGATTAGTAAGTTGTTTAAGGTTTTAATTAAAAAAAATCTATATTTATATAATTGCTAGCTAATCATTTAATAAAACCTAATAAATAAAACCTATTTAATTTTACCTAATAAATTATACATAATAAATACTACAACCTTCCATATACAAATGAACGTTACTTTTACAATTAAGAATTATTATTGTACATTTATTATTATACATTGTAACGTTTCACTCTTTTAAATGGTATTTTCATCTTTTTATTTTCTTTTATGACATCTAATAAAAACTAACTAAAATTTAAAACAATCTATATATATAAAATAGGGATTATCACATCAGTAAATATTTACATATTCCACTCTTTTTTTTTTCTTTTTACATTAGCAGCTTCGCTTTTACTTAATATGCAAGCATACTAATGTTGAAATTAATTGTTATGGTTTTATCCGCTCATTTAATAATTCTAACTTTTATTATATATATTTTTTAAATAGAACGATTACAAATTATTCTACCAAACCCTGTGGGTATAATACAAAAATAGAAAATAAAAATAAAACAATCATTCTTATAAATAATAATTTATTGTTGCATAAGAACGTGCTTAATTTTTTAAAAAATGCATTCGTTTAAATAAAATTCATAGCCTCAAATAGTAGTAGCGTTTAATTTTCTAGAAAATGCATTCGTTTAAATAAAATTCATAGCGTCAAATAGTAGTAGTAAGGATAATAAATATATAAATATCATACCCGTTATGATTATATTTATATTCCTATATATATAACTACTGACAATGAATTTATTGCAAAAATAAAATCAGCGCCTTTTATTCAACTAATTGTAAAAAGAAATTGTTACATTTTTCACTAATTAATTAAATTATATAATTTATAATTACATAATAACTAATAATAACTAAAGGATATAAGAAAGTTTATACGTATAAAAAAAATATTTAGATTTTTTTAAACTACTTATTTAAAATAATAATTATTTTTTAGCTCATTAACGACACAAAACAATTATATCTAGACGGTCCTCAGGGTTGAGGTTCCTCTCAGAAAAGAATCGACTGATTTCAGGCCACTTGGGGTTGCAACTGATAGTTATGAAGATATCAAGATAACCGGTACAATGACAAATGGTAATCGCATCCAACGATAAAAGGTGCACTTCAATTGGCAGCCCATAAAATTCTTATCGATCATTTATATTTTCTTTGATTAGTGTACAATTCGATTGATATGTTTTTGTTCTCCGAATTTTGAAATCAGCAGATACTCGATTAGTTATTATTAAGCTCAGCAACTGTGTATTCGAATGCAAAATATGAACCGGTGCCAGAGCTGGTGATAAGGTTCTTATTCCTAGGCTCAAAATCATACAATTAGATTTGAGGGTACCTTTCAAGGTTCTTTTTTAAAACATTTTTTTCAATGATTATGTTATGATTTTACTATTGTTTACAATTTTTTATTATTTTATTCTTTATCAAATAGCTTTCTGTGCAAATGCACAGGTTACAACTAGTAATAATAAAGTAAATATGCCTTTGTAACATCTTTTGGAGGGAAATAAATAGGGTTTTATTAATTGCTTTGCTAGCAATAATATATATATATATATATATATATATATATTATAAATATGGATAAATAAATTAAAAGGAATTACAAAACAAATAGCATGATTTTTTTTTTTTTTTTTTTTTTTTTTTTTTTAATACTAGCTTAATTTAAAGTAACAAAATTATTTATTTATTGATCAAGTAGTCAACTTTAGAATTTATCTACAACATAGATATAAATAGATACAATAAAATCATGTATATATAGACATGATCCCTTCTATATAGGGTTGGTTCAAATGAGAATGATGCTCAATGAAACAAATAAGAATAAATCATAGTTATTAGATCAGATGATCTAATGGCTAACAAAAGTGAATATTATACATTCACTAAGGGTAATTTGGACATTACCATTACACATCACCACACACACACTTGACCCACACACCTAACACACACACACACAACAATATTACCATTTAATTACGAGGTTGCCATAACATGTTTGACTTATATTAATAAATTTTAACTTGATCATAACCATTGATTTGATAGATTCAATGATCCAGAATTATTCTTATTTCTTTCACCATCACTTTTTCCTCATATGATTTCTTCTCTATATATATAACCTTGGTAAAGGATTATAATTGTTATCATGTATTGTTAATCAATTTTTTGAAAATCATTCACCATAAAAAAATTGCTATCCTTTTAAAAAAAAAGTTATTCTAGGGAGCCAACTGTTGACTCCCTAATGGAGCCAACAACCAATGGGACAGCTCTATGTGGGGCTGTCCCATATTAGAGTCATGTGGGACAGCCCCACATGGAGCTGTATAATTGATTGTTGGCTCCTTAACATTATTGTTTTTAAAAAAAAAAGTTGATGAACTTTATAAAAGAATTGTTATGCTTTTAAATAAAGTTGATAAACTTTAATAGAGATGCTTCTACATTTACCAAGATTTTCAATTAATGGATTTGTCTAAATCAAATCAACCAACCAATCAATAAATAAATTATTAAAGATTCTGTCTAAATATAAAAACACTGCTAAAGAAAAAAAAAAAAGGAAAAAAGATAAAAGTCAAAAAATTACGGCTACATAATTCCCTTCTCTTTAGTAATTAATAGTAGTTTTTTTAATGAAAATTATTACATTCTATTTATAGTAAATCCTTAACCTTTTTAATGAGATGTATAAATTCCGGTTTTGAAGCTCCGAAAATGCATGGACCCAGACGACATTAATCGGTTAATACGCATAACATACAACACTAGTCTAGTCAACAGCCTCAGTCCAAGTTACAAAGACCTGCACTATGTATGCATGGCCCGATGGCCACTTAAATGTAATACTGGTATAAGTTCAATGAGCAGAAGCAGTCCAGTTAGACGGTAATCTAGATGAACTTATTGGTGGCATGTTGCGAACATTCACGTCAAGAGGCAACAATCGGTACTGAATGTCGAGCTCCCTGAAGGTGTTGACCATATCCTCCACAAGAAGGGCACGCCGGACCCACCTCTCACCCATGTCCTGATGATTCATCCTGTGAGTTAGCCAAACTGAGAACTTGATTCGGTTCATGTCCTCCACATCTCTCATCACAATCATCGGCTCTGGCTGCCAGTGGTCACTCCTCTTCTCCACATACCTGAGCCAATTGCAACAAACCCAAAATACCATTGGCAACGATCCCAGAACAAAGAAGGCACAATTTAGTTTATTGAGCTTGAAGAGATTTTTTTTCATACCTCGTGATTCTTTCCTTCATAAGTGCAATCTTCTCGACAGGAGTTGAAATGTGAATACAGAAATCAATGGCATCTCCCATTTCCGGACTCCGGTAATAGTTATGGATTGGCTTTGTGGATAGGACACTGTTTGGGTAATATATCTTGTGGTTATCAAACTTCAGGAAAACTGTGGCCAATATATTCATCTCTTCAACGACCATCTGTAAATTCGAGTTTCATAGCATCACAAAAATCAAGTATTATATATTTAGTTCAAGGAACAATCACAAACCAAATAACCCACAAAAGTTTCAAAATTATCCAGAAAAGCGCCTTTGCTTTGCTAAGTTTTGTGCAGTTTTGAAACTTTGAGGGGTTTCATCAGTAAATACAGAAGACCTGAGGGATATATTTGTAATAATCCCCCTTCGTTACTTACGGATAGAACAAGAATGCAACTTACTTGAACTCCATCGACTTCAACACGGTCACCCACATCAAAAGGGTGCATCACAAACAGAAAGATGATGGCCTCGAATGTTGTCTTGCACGTGTTTCCGAACATGAACACCACCAAAAGGAGCTGTGAGCTCAAGAAGATGAAGAAGTGTGTGGTGGCGACTTTGAGAATGAGAAGCCAGATGACAATAATGAGTATTCCCACCAGCACATTCAGCATCTGATGCAGCTTGTTTACGGCAGTTTTAGTGTCGTTTAGGGACAGAGCAAGTGCCCTTCTTTCTCTGAATACATTGACCTGCAGATCAACAGATTTGCAACACATTCCATGTTGGGGTCATTTTTTCCAAATTTTGTTAGATTAGCCCAATATTTTTCCAAAAGAAGAAAATTTGTAACTGGTCTGTACAACAGAAACCAAGAAAAATAAAGCATCGATAAAATCAAAGGTTAATTGAAAAAATTTAGTATGGATAAGTAATTCAACACATACGTCAATTATGCAAATTGTTTATGTTATGGAAACCAAATTAAAGGACCACCTTGCCCAATAAACTTATGCACCCCTAATGGAAAAGATGACCCAACAAACTTGTGCAATAAAAACAGACCGTCACAACACCATAACTAGTAAAACTTAGTTACCATTACCAACTTGAGGAAAATGATGAGATAAATTTCCTTACCACCCAATTTTTAAGAGCTTTCCTGCTGATTCTCTTTTGTTCACTTCCATCTTCAAATAGACGCATAGTCTTTACAACCTCATCCTCCCGCATGAAACGCAATAAATCTTCCTCATAAATGTATCTGTCACAGAATACAATCTATTATTATGAAGCACTGAATATAACAAATAGGTGGCAGCTCAATTTCATGCCATGTTAAGGAAACCTACCAAATAACTAGGGGGTAGCTCAATGAAGTCGATACTAATTAGATTGTGTTTCTTCTAATAATCAATTTTCAATAGATGAACTATTAAGTCGGCACGAGCTGCTGGACAAACAATACAATGCCTAATTCTATTTCACTCCTTATATTACTCCAAATTTCCATTCCCAAAAAATAAGATGTATTAAACATAAAATCTAGTATAAAAAGATCGAACCAACAACATTCAGAAAGAAAGTAAAATCCAAAATAAACAAGGCAAGTACAAAACTGCATTTAGAAGCTAATTAAGATCTATTGAGCTAAAAAATGGAAACTCACTTAGCTCCTGGCTTGGCCACATTAGTAAATATCTTCTTGGCAGCAGCTTTTGCCTGTTTCTCGCTCGTGATATGCACCGTAGACTCATCCTCCCCGGTTGAGCCCTGTATCTTCTCGTCCAGGGTGGATAGCACCCCATTCCTTACTATATTCATCAGCCTCTTCATATTCCAAGCCGATATATTCTTCTGATTCAACCTATGCAAGTGGTCTATAGTAATCCCATTCTGCTGCTCTTCCCGTCTCGACATGAGCTTTGAGAAAGCGGGACTTTTCCCGCCCGCTGACGTGGGCGTCTTTCTCGGTGTGCCGATTATTTTACCACTCTTGGGGAACATGTTTGCCTTCAGATCCGGCGGGATTGTGGCCCCGGCACTCTGAAGCTTATTGACCTCAATCATGACCCTCTCTTCCTCTTCCTGCTCGTGCTGTATCTCGATCAATGCCGAACCTGAGAGGGTCTCAATAACGTATTGATTGAACAACGACTCCTGAATCCGGTCGAAAAATGTGCTGACGTGAAAGGACGATGCTAATACTTTAACTAGCAATGTTTTCAGTAGCCAGATAAAGGTTCCCACCAAAAGGCACACCCAGATTTTAGTCACATATGGTAGAATCCGCCTGTTTGTGACCTTTTCAACCTTCTTGTCGAAAATGCACTGCCACGCGATCAGAACCAGAGAAAGCCAGAGACAATTCTGAACAGCATTCCTCAATCCGTAAACAAAATACAAAACTCGTTTTCGCAGTAAGAAATTCCTCTCAATCGAGAAAACTACAATCCTAATAGCCCATCCAGAGACCAATCTGCCCGAGATCAAAACTAGAACCATCACCTCCCATTTCCATAGCTCCAGCTCAAAAATTTTCTTCCTTCTCAGGATGTTAAAGGTCAAGCTGCAAATTAAACCGGCCACAATTAGTATCAAGCTCACCAGCTGTAGAAAGGAAAGCACGTTGAACTTCATCTTCTTGTAGTCATCGGGCAAATCGTCTTCCAGAAAGGGATCATCCTCGTCGATCTCGCTGGCTCTCCCCAAGTTCTGGGATTTATTAATCATTCTCTGAGTCTGGGATTTGGGGGTGTAGTCCTCCGGCGGGTCAAGCAGCCGGGACTTGGTCTTGGCACGAAGGAGGCTGGATTTCCTCTGGAAGGAGCTGTTGGAGCTGCAGACAAGGATCTCCTCCGGTTCGGCGCTGGACCGGCGGTTTGCGGCCTGCTCGACGGACTCGTGGAAGGAGACGCGGACGTCGCGCGGGGTGGACTGGTCGTAGTTGGTGTTGGGGCCGGGGCTCTCGGGGATTCGGGATAATTGGGATCGCTGGGACACTGGAGACTCAGAGATGAAATCGAAGTCGCCGGATTTGGCGGCGGCTCTCATGACGGCGTCGTTTGAGAAGTCGTAGCTGGAGTCCCGCCAAATTTTGTTGCTAGCGCCAGTATCACCGGCGGCGTCGGGCAGATCTCGACCATTGATTTTGGGTGCGACGGGAGGGGAAGGGGAGGCGGAGGAGGAAGACGACGTCGCCATGGGCGCGGCGGCGGATGTGGGCTTTTCAGTTAGGAGAATCTGGCGGTCCTCCTCTTGCTTTGGCGGCGAGGATTTGAAGGATTTGCGGAGGGTTTCCATGTGCGCACAGCACTCCAAAATCTTTTCTACCAATAAAGAATATATTGGTATTGTTATATTTTCTTTTTTCCTATTATTAATGACGGAAAAGGGTTTTTATACTCGACATCACGGAATCCATAATTCCAGATGTTTCGAGGAATAAATAATAAAAAAAAAAAAAACCCTCTCTTTTGGAAATAATAATAATAATAATAATGGTGTGAAGGTGATGAGCTGTTTATAGCAGAGACGACAAAAGGAAAATGAGCTTTGCCAGTGGTGGATGATGGTGAAGACGAGTTTTTGAATTGATGATGAATAACGAAAACGGCTCTGAGTGAGGTTTTGGTGAAATCTGAGCCGTTCGTTCAGATGGCGGAGGATCCACGGCTTTGAGGTTGTATTCAGAAAGTATTTGGACTTTTTTTTTTGGTAGGTAAGATAAAGAAAGAGAGAAATGCTACGGTCCCGTTACGGAATCATTCCATCCAAATTTATAACCGTTAGATCATCATGTAATCGTCGGAGATAGTTGATCTAACGGTTACAAACTTCGACTGAATGGTTCCGTAATAGGACCGTAACGTCTCCCAAAGAAAGAAGATTTTGGTCTCTCTCTCTTTTCCTTATATTATGGGCTGGTGTTTAGAAATTTGGCAGGCTATATGTATATGCATGTCGCTAGAATATTGGGTGATTCCATACCACACCCAATTTTGCATCAAGTTGGGTCAACCTAAAAATATTATATTTGTTTTAATGAATATATATATATATATATATATTCTTTTTATTTAAAAAAGGAAGATTGTTTTGAATAACTATTAAAATTATCTTGAAATAATTATTTTCTTATTTATAGTTACGATATGATTGTCCAATAAAAAATTGTAAAAAATGTTAATTTAATAATATATATTAATGGATAACAAATAAAAGTATTATAAGTTTTTAAAAAAGAAATAACAATAATACTTAATAAAAAATAGATCTTATGATTTTCTCGAAGAAATATTAGATTTTATAGAATATTTTTATTAAAATTAAGGATCTCATAAAAAACTTATGAGCAACTTGCCAAACGAAAGAGGGATGTTTAATACAGAGCCCGTGCGATGCACGCGGTGCACAATTTTAAGGTCATTTATCCATTCTTATAATTATATAAATGAATAAAAAAATGTACGGGATATATATAGTACGTGACCTGTAATAGGCCAAAATGTGAACACGGGTGATGCACGGGGTGCACAATTTTAAGGTCATTTATTAGTGCATACCCCGTGGGATGCACGTGATACATATAATAAATCAATTATTTCTATAGGACTTGTACGTCTAGACAAAAAAAACAATAGGCTCGAATCATCAATATTTCACATCTTTTAATAAGTGGCGTTTATTTAAGCCAAAAAATTAACATGTTAATTAATATATAATTCCTCTAACACGTCATACTAATATTTATTTGATTTTAGAATACATATTTATTCATTGATATAGGGAAAAATAAAAATTTCATTAATTATTGTTCACCATATAATACTAATTTATTATTTTATTATAAAATTTACAGTCATATAATGTAATTGTTATTATTTATAAAAGTTATAGAAGTAGTCTTCTTTATGTAATGAAATTCAAAATAAAATTTTGAGTATAAATGTTTACAAAATACGCACACATGTTTTTTAGAATTCAATTTTCTCATAATAATTTTTTTTTAAAATGATTTAGCAATTGCCAAAAAATAAATCCCTTACATAATCAAGAGATTTTTTTTTTTAATTTTCTTCCTAAGACTTTATAGTTTATTTAACATACTATGCAATAGAAAAATATTTTACAATAAGTTCATTTTTGAAACATAACAAAAAAAAGTGATAAAAACACTATCATAGTTGACAATAATATACAAATAAATAACATGTCGAAATTTTAAAGAATAACTATAATTTTATTATCTAACCATCAATAAAATCATTTAATGATGTGATCATTATCTTTTAAATAATAAATCATACTCCCTCCTATTTTTTTTAAATGTCATTATAGCTTTATCAACTATTTGCTAAATAAATATCGTTTTGAATCTTTTGTACATATTTTTCCATTATTACCCCCATTTAGCTAATAAATACATCACGTCTTTTCATAATCACTCTTCATTTTTTTCTCAAAACATCCATCTCTATCTTCATTAAATAAGGTCATTATTGACAAAAAAAATATTCTAAATAGATGTGCAATATCTCAAAACGACATCTATTTAAAATAGGAGGTAGTATAATTTTTTTAAAAAAATATTAGTGTTATATAATTAAATAAAGGTTAAAAAATATTACCCGACAAATAGTAATTATAATGGATATCAGTAAAATCATTGCATAAATTATTTAAGGAAAAATCTTAAAGATCATATTTGGATAGTAAATGTAAATATGCAAGCATTTAATGCATATAGTAAAAAAATTCCAATTAAAGTATGCATTAAATGCATGTTGACTTTTCTTGCTACTGTTTTTGGTAAATAGGTTGGCTTTTAATATATACTAGTATAAATCCCGTGCGATGCACGGGGTGCACAAAATTAAGGTCATTTATCAAGTCTTATAATTATATAAATGAATAAAAAAAATGTACGGGATATATATAGTATGTGACCTGTAATAGGTCAAAATGTGAACACGGGTGATGCACTGAGTGCACAATTTTAAGGTCATTTATTAGTACATAGTCCATGTGATTCACGGGGTGCACAATTTTTTAGTATGTGTAATACAAATACATACCGTATGCACGGGACAAAAGCACTCAATGAGTTATCTCAACAGAGTTTGCCCGTTAAGTAGCTCCTGAACACGGGTGCACAATTTGTAGTATGTACTATAAAATCAGAACAGATTTCCATACAATTAGATAATAAATTAGAAAATAAATAAAGCCTTTTTTATTTAGTAAAGATTTTACGTATTTTTTTTTTTACTTATCGGATGTTATGAGATTTTTTTTGTTAAACCGATTTGATGGGATATAATACAAATACAATTAAAGGATTGAACAAAATCAGAACAGATTTCCATACAATTAGATAATAAGAAGAAATTAGATAAGGAAAAGAAAAAATTAGATTTTTTTTTTTTTCCAACGACATAAATAATTTCATTAAAGAAAGCCAAAAAGGCAAAAAACAAATACAGGCCCGGAACCGGGAATGAGAGGTTACAACTCCACCAATGCAACCTAGACGAAATACTACTAGCAGAGCTAGAATAACAACCACACCACAACACTAAGACAAACTACAACCCACACTAAAGAAAACAACAAGAAAAGCTCCCAACAGGAGAATCCCGAGTGCGATCCCAACAGGATAATTAATTTGCACTCGGGTCAACCGGGGCCAACGGCCCAAACCTAAAGTACGATAACAAACACAAAACACACAACAACGAGAGCAAACAACAGAAACGAAAACACGAGGGAACAAAAACTAAACAAAAACACATAAACGGAGCCCTCCTCTAGTGAAACACAACGAGGCCAGCCAACAGTGAACGAACGACACAAGAAAGGAACCGAGCCTGAGCAGTCGCTACTGAAACTGCAGGATGCCTAGCAGTAGGTAAAAAACAAGCCCAATACCAATCCCCAAATCGATCCATCGCAAACCGAGAACGCCACGACCAAACCCCACACTCCAACTAGCCCAACCTGCCCTCATACCACGGACGAGGACAAACCAGCCCAGCCCCAAGCCACCTAACACCACTAGACAGCCGAGGGAAGGATGTGAAACTGATCGGACCTTCAACCCAGACCGCCACGACAGACCGCCACAGCCACCTGAGTCCCACCCCCCCCATTGACGCACACTCCAACCAACACCACCACGACCAGAAAACCGAGACCCACCAGCGAGGCGGAGCTCCACCAGAAGGCAAAGCATATCAATCGGAGACAGGGAGAGTCGAGGGACTTACCACCACAAGATAGGCCGCCGCCAGCGACTGAGGACCCCAATCGCCGACAAAAAGCCGACCAGGAAGGACGCCACCACCACTCAGGATCCCATTTGCATCGATAGTTAGGTCCCCAAAACTCGGCCATCCATAGGGCATGGAAGTCGCACAACGTCAAGAGGGAGATGGGGCGGTCTACGACGACCCCTGGCCGAACCTACGCCGTCACCAAAGGAGGCCAATCGGCCGGAATTTGGAAGCTCTTTCTCGGATTTGGGGGAAGGGATGCCGCCGCTGGGGAGATGAAGAAATTAGATAAAAAAATTTGAATCTACCTTTTTTAGTGTGGACAGACTTTACGTACAAATTTTGACTTTACCGATTTTACGAGATTTGTTTTGACAAAATTAAAGACGAACACTGAAAAATGTTTCTATTAACATTTACAATGTTCATTTAATGTTTTTATTTTGGCAAATTATTATTTTTAAGTGATATATAAGTATTAAAAGTACTTAAAATATTTTATAACATCTATAAAAGCATCTAAAATATTCTATATTATTCACAAATAATATTTGAAGCTACCTAAATTTTTCTAAACTATTCGTAAGGAAATTATGTCTAAAAATTCTTTATTTAACCTCTATATATGTATATATATATATATAGAGCAAATGTGTAAAAAAAATTATACAAATAATATTTAAAAGTATCTAAAATATTAGTAATTAGACAGGTAAAATTTAGATTTTTAAAAAATCTATATAGATAATGGATTTATAGTAGTAATAGACTTTTATTTATTTACCTTTAAAGTTGTTACGATAGATGAGAGATGTGATTTTTTTGACTTGTGGAGATGGAATTTTATAAGCTGGGTTATGAAATCTTCTTAAACTCGTCCATATCTATGCGATGAGTTTTTTAAACTGGTTATATAGATTTAAAATTGTAAAAAAAAAACAAACTTTCATAAATCATTTGATTTGGTATTTTCGGAGAGCTTCATTAATTTAAAAGTGTAAAATAAAAAAATAAAAAAAGTACAACTGAAAAAATTACAACCAATTGTATGGAGAATCAAACTAAATCCAATTTTGTAGGATGCATTAAATAATGATTAGATTTTATATGTAAAATAAAATAAAAAATAACTAGAATAATTTTACGTGTTGCAATATTTTATATTTAAAAAAATTAAAAAAATCTTCTTTTACGTATTGCATACCAACATTTTAGGAACTACATGAATATTCCTAAATTAATATTTCATACCCAATATTTTAGGAACTAATTAAATGCTAATTTGATTTGCATACCAAAAATATTAGATGCATTAATTAAATGTTTGTTAAAAATAGCAAATCATTAATTAGAGTTGACTATTCTACATACTGCATTTAGTAAATAGTATAGCTTTTAATATAAGTATAGATTTTCTCCATCTATGCGTTTCAAAAAAGTATTTTAAATTTTATATATATTTTTTTTTATTTATAAATAATTATCCATGGAGTGATTAATTTATATGCCTTTTTCCTAATAAATACTCGCCCCTTTTTCATTTTTTTAGACAGTCTCTCTCTTTTTTTTTTCTTTCTTTTTTTTGGTACTAAGAATGAGACAAAGGCCTTAGACTACAATATTACGAGGATGCGCGACCCCAAGGACATCATGTACAAGCCACGGTTTCACCCCCGTGGGAGGGTCGTCAAATATATGAAGGCCGTCCGGCATGGTCGATGCTAAGGATGCAAGGTGATCCGCCGTAAAATTAACTTCCCGATAAATATGCCGAATCTCAAGCTTCCATTCCCTTCCCAAAAGCTCCTTAATACTCTTGATAATGCTACCGTGAATTCCCGTGTGTTCGCCATTGTGTAACACCAAATCAACCACGTTCATGCTATCCACTTCCGCAATCACCATGCGGTATCCCATCCTCCAAGCCAAAACTAGGCCTTGAAAAAGGCCCCATAATTCCGCACCCAAGATCGTGCAAAACCCGATGTTCATCGCGAAACCGGATACCCACCTACCATCCTCAGCCCGAAGAAGGCCCCCGGTCGAGGCCATTCTGGTTTTCCGATTGAACGCACCTTCCGAAATCATTTTAATGAAGCCCGTCGCAGGTTTAAACCACGAGAGCCAACAGAGTTCTCTACAGGAGACCATTGCACTCACGTTCTTCGAAAACAGGGAAACCGAAATAAAACCTTCAACTTGCCTATCAATTGCCATCACCCGTCCCAGAATATTCAGCCCGGTGTTTTCGAAGATATATGAATTTCTTCCGCGCCAGATGTTCCATAACGTGACTCCGAAGATACATGACCAATTTCCCACTTGAAACATGCAGCTGATTTTGGATATTATGACGCAGCCAGTCAGTCACTTCTAATGAGAAGAAGGAAGTATGATGATAAGTCGGGAGCAGTCGACGCCATGTCTGGTTCGCGTGTCGACAGTCACGGAGACAGTGAAGGATCGTCTCACGTGCAGCGCCACACAGTACACAAGTAGCACTCTCCGCGAGATGATGTCTATAGCGTTCATCGTTGGTAAGCAAACGACCTTTAGCAACAAGCCACATAAATTGACGGATTCTTTGGGGGCCCGACCAGCTCCAAACGTCTTTCCAAATGCGCCCAGAATTCTCGAGCTGTGGCCTAGTCAACGAGTTGTAGGCCGAACTAGTGGTGAAACGATCGTCGCCCGAACACCCCCAGTACATGATGTCGTGACCCAGGTCCGGGGAGGGAGGTAGGGTGGCTGCAATGCATAAGAGAATCGTCGCGGGCAGCATGGTCGGGAAAAGGTCACAATGCCAAGCTCCGGCTTCATCTACGTATTTATCCAAAGTCTAGAATAGGTGTTCTTCTGGTACCGGCTGAAGGGCTTCGTGCAGCAGAACTAAAGAACTTGTAAGCCAACGGTCAGTCCAAAAGTGTACTCGTTGTCCATTGCGGACTGACCACCGAATCCCGTCAACGACATGCCCCCAAATTCGCGCGATAGCGCGAATAACCGTCGAGCCCCGCGAGATTTCTAGAGTTGCTGAGATATTTGCCAGGTTGAGGCCATATTTTGTTGTCATAACTTGAACCCATAAAGCGTTGGGGGAGGTCAACAAACCCCAACCCAATTTCATCAAGAGTGCCTTGTTCATAACCCGGTGGTATTTAAAACCTAGCCCCTCCGCCGTCTTGGGCCGGCACAAATCATCCCAACGCACTAACTTGATTTTCTTCTAGGCATCCGCACTGCCCCACAAGAAACGACGACACCTCCTGTCGATACTAGTGCACACAGAGGAAGGAATCCACGCCGTTTGCACCGCATAAGAAGGCAAGGTATTCACCACATATTGGATCAGCGTGGTTCTGCCTTCCATCGACAGAGCCGAACTCTTCCACCCCGAGAGCTGTGTTTCGCTTTTGTGCAAAACATTAGCGTAGGTCTCGTGATTCACTCTCCCGTGAATGATTGGCATTCCAAGATAATTCCCCAGGTTGTCAACACGTTCATAACCCATTGCGCGAGATATATCTTGGGCAACATCCGTGGGTACATTTTTGGAGAAAAAGACTTTTGTTTTTGGTAGACTGACTTTGAGGCCCGAGTCGCGACAGAAATCTTCAAGGACTTCCATTAGAACCTGGGCTTGGTCAACCGTAGCCTCAGTTAAAAAAAGTAGGTCATCAGCGAACATCAAGTACGAAATCTGCACCTTACCCCGACTTAGGGAAATCGGCTTCCACTTACCTTCGGCAACGCACCGTTCCATACATAGCACAAAGAGATATGGAGAGATCGGGTCACCTTGACATACCCCCCGAGTCAGGGTGAAACCCTCACTGCAGCTCCTATTCCAGGACAGATGCATGGTAGCGGATGTGACACACGTCATAATACTCGTCACAAATGCGTGGGGAAAACTAGCTAAAGAGAGTGTGTTTTTCAGAAATTCCCAGCTCAAGTAATCGTATGCTTTCTCAAGATCAACCTTTACAACCATATACCCTTTTCTACCTGCCAAGATGCGCATTGTATGAATGAGTTCTTGGGCAATGACTATGTTGTCGGTAATGTGCCTGTCTAGGATAAAACTGACTTGAGCCGGCCCAATTAGGCGTGGCATTAGCCCTTTCATTCTAGTTGTGAGCACCTTTGTTATGAGTTTGTACACCACGTTCAGGAGACTTATTGGACGGAAGTCTTTAATTGTGTTTGGGTGGTCGACTTTGGGTATGAGCACAATAAGAGTTTTGTTCAACCGTTTGGGGCATGGCTCCCCCATTCAAAACTTGACGAACAATGTTACAGACTGAGTTCCCCACGATGTCCCAATTTTTTTGGAAAAAAGAGCGCATGAAGGCCATCCAAATAGGGGGCTTTAAGAGGATGCATATAGTGAAGGGCCTGTAGGATCTCAACTTTTGGCACTTCTCTGGTAAGACGCTGCCATTCCTGAGCTGCAATACCGGAAAGGTCACCAAGGTCTGCCTACAGCCGGTTGAAGGGGTAGGGGCCGCCGTGTAAATTTTTGAGAAAAAATTAATTGCTAGTTATCGTAGCGTAGTCTGGTCCTCGACCATGACTCCCTCGTCGTTCCGCAAAGCTGTGATCTTATTCCGACGTCTATGATGCTTAACCGAATGGTGAAATAAAGCCGTGTTGCAGTCCCCGAATAAGGTCCAATCTCTGTGGGATTTTTGTAGCAAGAGCAGCTCTTCCTGAGCTAAAACTTCCTCAAGCTCCGCACTCAGATCCTTCTCCATCTTGAGCAGACGGTAAGTGACATACATTTGTAGGTGCCGTTGGAAACCTTCCAACCGAGCCACCACGCGTTTTTTCTGAATGAAAAGTTTTCCAAATACCTGATTGTTCCACTTTGTAGCTTCAGTGGAGAAATTATTTGCCGCCGATATGTAGTCCGGGGAGGTCCATGATTTCTCGATCAACTCCCCGAAGTTGCCATGCATAACCCACGATGCTAAAACCTTAAAGGGCTTCGGGCCCCTCGTCACGTCATCCGAGTCTCGACTACAGCGTAGCAGCGGGATGTGGTCCGATTGGTGTCGCGATAAGTGAGACACTATCGCCGACCCAAACCGATCCAGCCATTGTTCATTCGCTATTATTCGAACTAGCTTTTTCTCAATATGTGGTCCAAACCACATGTATTGGAATCCATATGTTTTGACTTCAAGGAAGTTGTTCGTGAAAAACCAGTCGGAGAAGCTTGTGTCAAACGTGCGACCGCGTGCTCCACCCCTTTGTTCTTTTGGGCTCAAAGTACAGTTAAAGTCCCCACCTAGGACCCATGGGATTTGAATGCCACTCGTCAGCGTGTCCAGGGCATCCCATAGCTCATGGCAGCCTCTTGGGTTAGGGCTTGCGTACACGAACGTGATTAGGGACTCCCATGACTCGGTTTTCACCACGGCATGCACAAATTGCTTGTGGCACTTTATCACTGTTAACTCCACTCTATCGTTCCACAAAATCCAAATGCCGCCCGAGAACCCGATGGCCTCCACCCGGAAAGAGCGTTCATAGCCATTACATTTCACAAATCTATCTGCTTTCATGCCACTCACTCGCGGTGCAAAAAATGCCACAACATCAGGTTTATAACTATCTTTGAGAATTAAAAAGGTTTGATAGGAAGTCATCGAGCCAACACCTCTAACATTCCAGAACATAATACTCATTGACAAAATTTGAGGAGGTGAGGTGCTATCCATTAGCAATCATGAAAGACTTCAGAGTAATTTGGTGTCTCCGCGACCATGGTCTCTTCCTACACGTCTTCTAATCCAGGTGGGGTTTGGTGGGGAGCATGCGAGCCCTCAACCATTATGGTGTCTCCCGGATCGAGTACAATAGGTTTCCCTGTCGTCTCCTGGTTGTCCGAAATCCTTACTTCCATGTGATAGTCCGGGTCAAGATCTGAGGCAGTAGAAAATACCTGTGTCGTTTCCTTGAGAGCCAAGTCCATCATATCCGGACGGGCGACGCCATGATCCATTTCTTTTGCCTATATCTTCATCAAGTCAAATTCGTGATTTATTTCAAAGGTACGTAAGTCACCGAGAAGTTCATCAATGCCCAGCTTTTGAACTCTCTGAATACTTTCCAAAGTTGTGATCTTATATCCAAATCTATTTGGCAGGGTTCTCATCAACTTCTGTACTTGTCTCGTCTCTGATATCTCTTCACCAAGCATTGCACTTTGGTTTATAAGGTCACAAAAACGAGCATAGTACATGTCGATAGTTTCATCATCTCTCATGTGGATTTCGTCAAGTTTCGTAGTGATCCTTTGAAGCTTCGAGGGCTTCACAGCGTTCGTACCTTCAAACTACCTCTCAAGAATCTTCCATGCATCGTGAGCTGTGGTACACTAAATAATCATCTTATGACGAGTTGGGTCCACAACAGACATGATAACATATAATGCACGAAAGTTTTCTTCTTATGCTTGTCTTTCAGCATCAGTCCAAACATCCCTTGGTTTCTCGACTAGAACTTGCGTAGCCGAGGTTGATGACTTTGATTACTCACCTGCCTTAGATTCAGAAGGAACTTTTGGCATAAGTGGTGTGGATAACATGATTCAACAACCTGTCAGGTTCCTTTCCCCAGAGAACGTAAAAAGATTACCATCATGGATTTCCAATATCCATAATTCGATGCATCAAGAAACGGAGGGCGTGAAACGGACATTCCATCGTGATTCATAGTGGCCAACACACAGTCCCAAAGATCTTTATCCCGTAAGTAGAACATAAACACTTCTCTAGTGCCAATTGAAACGTATAAATTTTGTGACGAGTGCGCTTAACTATGTAAGATCGTAGATAAACCACTAAAATAGCGGAAGCAATAAACCGAAGATTTAAAAACTCTTCAGGGAAGAGTCTCAATTCCCCTCAGAGCTCTTTTATTGATAAACCGTCAAACATTGTATAGTTTGGACTTACACGACTCGAACTCCCTTCTAGTCTATCCACAACTACACACGATCCTATCAATTACTTCTCTGGCCACGTCCCGTGGACTTTCTAACCAACACTTAATCCCTAAGTGTAAAACACGAATATGTCTAAATAAAACAAAGAAAAAGAAAGCAAAACAACTTCAGTTCTCAACTGAGTAAGAACCCTTGAACTGAACTGTGAACTAAAACAAAAACAAAATCTCTTGAAGAACGAATATTGCTTGAGTGAATAATAGTGACAACACCCTCGATTCGATCTTCAAGTAGGGTATTTATACGACTCCCTTAGGCATGTAGTCTTCTCCAAGTTGTTTTCTTCCTTTTTGATCTCTTTTGATCTTCTTCCATAAATAGTGTAGAAACTTGGAAAGTGAATCTTTTTTTATCTCTCTTTCATGTAAAGGAAAATCAGATGTAACATGAAATAAGAAAACATTGAGCTAAGAGCTTTGATCTTCATTGATTCTTTATCATAAAAGTAGCTGCTGTATTTCTCACTTTTTCGATAGTTACAAAATGGAGATGAGGTGATATTTATATCACATTCTCTTAGCTATTGTTAACCACACAAAACAAACCCTAAAGAGATAAGATAGTATTTTCCTTTTTGACAGCTCATTATACTTGTACTACATTAAGCATTGCAACTTTTATTCCTTTGTCCTGCATGGCCTCATCACACGTATGCATGGATGATGTGGAGCAAGGTATTGACATGGCAAGACTCTCATGACCACTCTGTTGACTTTCTTGACTTTTACCCCCTCTCAATTTGAACAAGGGGTGAGATATTACTCCCA